AGAAAGGAGGTCTGTGCTGAGTCCAGAGTTCCCCAGCACGGGGTTTGGGTAGCCCTGGGTCCCGCTGTCACCCAAACCTCTGCTGGCGACCCTGCCTGCTACCCTCTTGTAGCAGCAATGGGCTGGGGACCAGACCAGGGCTGGGGAAGGAAAAGGGATTTCGTTCCAGGCTATATGGATTGTTCTGGTCTCGCTTCCATCCCTGGCCTGGGCTAGTCTGGAGAAACATATAGACTGTGGCAGATACTTGGAATCCCAGGGTCCACTCCCTTCTGTTCCAGGGAAATGAAGGCAGGAAAGTTAGGGTAAGGCTGAGTGCTGAGGTGGAGGAAGAAGCCAAGTGGGTTGGTGTAAGCTCAGGACCTATGGCCTGGGATGGGGAGCCTCCCAGAGGCCGAAGAATGGACAAAGAGATGCAGCCCCAAATGCTGATCACTTAATCCTAGGTCTGGGCAGATCTGGTGCACCTGCAGGTGGAGGGGGGGCAGAGGCTGGATCAGGGCCTGGGGCAGAGACAGGGGTGGGTGGGGCCTCACCTGCAGAAACTGCTGGTCACTCCTGTTGGCAAGCAGGGTGCGGAGCCAGATGCTGTCCCCCTCCAGCTTCAGGAGCCGGTTGTGGCTCTGCTGGATGGAGCTGCCTAGCTTCCCCAGAGCAGTGGCCTCCTCTTTCTCCACAAAATCCAAGACCTTCATCTGCAGCTGTCTGACCTCCTGGATGATCTCTGAGAAGCAGGTGTTCACCTCCTCACGTGTTGTCTGGATCAGTTTCTGTGGGGGGGTGGGGTGGACGGTGTGTCGAGAGGCATCTCTGAGCCCCAGCCGGGTACCCCTAGTCTTATGGCCTGGAGCGTGCCTCGGCATCCTGTTGCTGACTGCCGGGCTACACGACATCCATGCCAAGGCCTTAGAGTGGCCCTCAGCCTGATGCAGGGCACTGCGGGGAAGCCGGGGCCTGGGAGAGGGCGGGCCAGCCTTACCGAGAGAAAGGCCACCTGCCCTCGGTGCTTCTGGCTGTCAGAGTTGATGATCAGCATCTGGTTTTCCACACTGGCCTGGACCTTCCGAACCTCCACCTGGGAGCGAGAGGGAGGAGGAGAGGGCCCTGATTTGGAGAGGTGGCCTCGGAGAAGCCCTTCTACAAGCCCAGAGGAGACATACCTCTTACATTCCTAAGATGCCTACATGAGAGACACCAGAGCTGAAGGGCAGATGGCCCGGGGTCTACCCTCTGCTTGTGGTCTCTTACTCCCTGAGACTCTCTCCCCATTCTTAGGACTCAGGTTCTCTGCTCCTGACAGTGACGACCACCGGGTCTCAGGTTACAGAAAGGGGCTGTGGAGGGTTCAGGGGCTTGAGAGGCAGCAGTGGGTCGAGGAGGGACTTATCAGATATGAAACCCCAGAGATACCTTGCTGGGGGTGGCCCTGCCTGGCCCAGGCAGCCCTGTGTCCCAAGTCCCTCTACAGAGAAGCCTTCAGTCTCCACCTGTTCCAGCAACGGGCATGTTCTTGTTTATAACAGATGACAGAACTGTGCCGTTCCAAGTGCCTGTCCAGGAACTGTTGCTGGTGCACCGTCAAGTTAAGAAGCTCAAGCCAGACTATAAATCAACACACTGCTTGCTTCGTTGACCAAGTCTTGCTATGGAAAAAGTGTCAGCTGAGCTCAACAGGGTGGTGAATGGGTTTACATTCCGGCCGGGCCTCCTGGCCGTGGACCGTTCCTGGGTGGCTATGTGGGAAGAGCACTTGTACTGAATACATGTGAGGGAATGTCTGAAATCTAAGTGTTCCCCTCGAAAAAGCAGTACAACTATATTAAACAAAAGTTGAAAGTAGAGAAAAGGAGGGAGCCTGGGTGGCTCAGTTGGTTAAGCGACTGCCGTCGGCTCAGGTCATGATCCTGGAGTCCCGGGATCGAGTCCCGCATCGGGCTCCCTGCTCGGCAGGGAGTCTGCTTCTCCCTCTGACCCTCCCCCCTCTCATGTGCTCTCTCTCATTCTCTCTCTCTCTCAAATAAATAAATAAAATCTTTAAAAAAAAAAAAAGTAGAGAAAAGGAGGGGATATGCCCCACCTGACACGACAGGTTTTCTCTCAGCCTTTCCTTTTGCTGTGCAAAAACAACAACAACAACAAAAGAACCTACAACTCGTACATACAACTCGGGGCCCTCGCTCATCGAACTCGCCAACCCTTTCTCATGTCGTGGCGCATCCGCCCCCATGACCATCACTTGGATGGTTGTGTAACTGCCCCCCAAGGACCAGTGTGCCCAGGCTTGTGAAGACAGTTACCCTCCGTGAGAGCCTCAGAGCCGTGAGGTCCCGGGTCCCCCCGCCTCACCTCCTTGCGGGCCCGCTCCTCCTCCAGGGGGAGGGTGTCGTGGTTCTTGTGCTCCTCCAGCAGGCAGGCCCCGCACACACAGCGGCCTTCCGTGCGGCAGTACAGGGCCCGCAGCTTGCGGTGCTTCCGGCACACGCGGCTCTGGAGGTCCCACACGGGCTCCAGCAGCTGGTGGTCCCGGAACGCCTGGTCCTCAAAGTGGCTGAGCAGGTGCTTCTCGCACAGGGAGGCCATGCACTGCAGACAGGACTTGACTGACTTGAGCTTCTGCGGAGAACAGAAGTCGCAGGGCACGTCCCCGGGCCCCGCCAGGATCCGGGAGGATCCCAAGGTCTGGCCCTTGGCCTGGGTGAAGCAGGTCACCATCTCCTCCAGGATGCCATTCTTGCAGAGGCGCGGTCTGGAGGGGAAGCTCTCTCGGCACTGGGGGCAGTAGAGGGTCTTGCCCACGGAGGCCTGGTGGTCCCAGAAACCTTGGAGGCAGGTCATGCAGAAGTTGTGCCCGCAGGCGGTGGTGACCGGGTTGCGGAACACCTCCAGGCAAATGGGACAGAGGACTTGGTCCTCGAATGTGCGGAGACTGCTGTTACTCATCAGGAGCTGGGTTTGGAGAGGTCTCGAGGGCTGGGCAGGGGGCTGCAGGGCTGGGTTGTGGTTCTGGGCTAGCCCTGAGAAGATAGAGCAGAGCCATGAAGAAGCCACAGCAGGAGCTGAGGGGCCTTTCAGGGGTACACCAGTCCTTCCCATACAAGCAGCTGTCTGCCCATGGGGTACAGAGACTGTGTCATCGGTCAGCCCACACGGGGGGCATGACATGGGGATTGTGTTCTCCGTGTCCCAGCCCTAACTCCCGCAACACATCTTGGACAAGCCAGCGGATGGCAGAAAGAAGTCACATCAATGTCAGGGAAAGGAGCCACTTCTCTGGCCCTTCAGAAGAAAGGTAGGAAGCACAAGTACTTACGTGAAACCTTCTGCATGTCAGGGAGGGCTAGAGGCTCGGCTGCCCTGGGATGGGAGAGAATAGAACCCCCAGGCACTCAGGTGCAGGTGTCTTGCCCTGGTCCCACTTCACCAGCTGTTGGGAGGGTCCTGTGTGCCCCCACCCCAGCCCTCTCCATCTCTTGGGATCCGATGGCTGCCTTCGTACCTTTCCCTTTGGCGGCTGTTTTCGTGATCTCCCTATCAAGTTGGCCCCCCTCCTCAAAGATTTCCCCCAGCTTTGTTCCCTGACATCACAGTTCAAGTGTGACCAGCCCCAGCATTCTGCTTGTGATGTCAGCAGGGCAAAAGGTGCGCCACTGGACATGCTCGGACTCTCCATGGGTGATGCTTTATTCCACAGCCTTCACCCCAGAGGGTGAAGTCGCTGTTGCACCTGGGGCTTCATGCATTGGACCTAAGGGACTCACATTACCAACCAGAGAGGAAAATGGCATCTAAGTGGCAGTCGGATCTTGGACAACTCTCTGGATCATGGTTCTTTTCTTGTGAATCGACAGGGTTGTTATAGGAGATGATATTTCAAGGCCCCTTCTTGGTCTAAAGTTGAATGATCAACATTATCTGACTGGTGATCCTAAGAACTGTTGCTTCCACTCTGGTTCTGATCCTCAGAAGAAAAAAAGGGATGAGCGAAGCGGAAGAGAGATTCTCATTGCTCTATAATTGCTTCTTTGTTAAAGGTTTCTGTTTCCCATTCTCCCCCACCCAACAGGATAAATGCCCTGAAAAGCTTGCAGTATATCACTGTCTTGCTCCAATAGGTTAGCGCGGCCCTGTTTGTTGTATAGAAAAGGTAAATAGAAGGCATCCCTTTCTCATTTCCCCATCTCAGAGGAAAAATTTTCTTTCTTTTTTAAAGATTTTTTATTTATTTATTTGACAGAGAGAGACACAGCGAGAGAGGGAACACAAGCAGGGGGAGTGGGAGAGGGAGAAGCAGACTCCCCGCCGAGCAGGGAGCCCGATGCGGGGCTCGATCCCAGGACCCTGGGATCATGACCTGAGCCGAAGGCAGACGCTTAACGACTGAGCCACCCAGGTGCCCCTTGAGGAAAAATTTTCAACATTTCTTCATTAAATATGATGTTTGCTATAGGTTTATTGTAGATAACGGTATCAGATTATGTAGACTCCTTTTCCTTCCTGGTTTGCTAAGAGTTTTTATCTGGAATGGATATTGACTTTTATCTAATTCTTCTTCTGCATCTTTTGAAATGATCATAAGCATTGCCTCTTTTATTCTGTGAATGTGGCAATTCTGTATTTACTTATTTTCATTCTTAACCAACCTTGTATTCTGGAATGAACTCTACTTGGTCATGATGTGTTATGCTTTTTATATATGCTGGATTCAACTTGTTAATATTGTCATAGGATTTTTGCATCTATGTTCATGAATGAAATTGGCCTGGAATTTTCCTTTTATGTAATGTCCTTGTCAAGTTTTGGTATTAAGGGTATGGTAGCTTCATAAAATGAGTTCAGGAGTTCTTTATCGCTTATTTGGAAGAGTAAGATTGATATTATTTCTTCCTTAAATGTTTGGCAGTATTCAGTGGTAAAGCCGCCTAGGCCCTGAGTATTTTTTGTGGAAGGGTTGTTTTTTTTTTTAGGCCTTCTGATTTTTTTTATTACTCAAAAAAACTTCATTGTTTATTTAGCTTTCTGACTCTGCTTGTGCCTTCGACACTTTCACAATGATTTTCTGCTCCTTGATAAGGAAAGCACACTTGGTCCTGTCATGAACACACTTAGCACACATGGAACCACCATGTGTTTTTTCATTTCATTTCATTTTATTTATTTATTTATTTGACAGAGAGACACAGAGAGAGAGGGAACACAAGCAGGGGGAGTGGGAGAGGGAGAAGCAGGCTTCCCACTGAGCAGACAGCCCGACGTGGGGCCTCGATCCCAGGACCCTTGGGATCATGACCTGAGCCGAAGGCAGACACTTAATGACGGAGCCACCCAGGCGCCCCTGTTTTTTCATTTTAGACAACCTCGTAAGGACTTTAGGTCTCATAGCACAAACTCCTTGAAGTCGCCCTGGGCCCACACCACATGCAGATTTGGGTGATTTCCCAACCTTCTTGGTATAAAGGTAAACGATTCTATTACCAGGGGTTTGGGACAGCCTAGTTTTGTTAGAGGCTGTATCGTAGGACAACCTATGACAGCAGGTCAAATGCTGGACCATTCTGAATGCCTATGGATGCTGTCCCCGGATGTGGAAGGGTTATTAATTACATACTCAACTTCTTTCAGAGATTTAGAATTATTCATATTGTCTGTTTGTTCTTGTATCAATTTTGGTAAATGGTGTTTTCCTGGGAATTTGTCCATTTTATCTAAATTTTCAAATTCTTTTGGTATAAAGTTGTTTATAACATCCACTTATAATTATTAACCTAATATAAAATTTGCATTTTAATCATTTTTATATACAATTCAGTGGTATTAAGTATATTCACAATGTTAAACAATCATTATGTAGTGATCTATAAATAGTGATATAGTCATAGATAGTGATTTATATCCAAAACTTTTTCATCACCTTTAACAGAAACTTTGTTTTTTTTTTTTTTTTTAAAGATTTTATTTATTTATTTGACAGAGAGAGACACAGCGAGAGAGGGAACACAAGCAGGGGGAGTGGGAGAGGGAGAAGCAGGCTCCCCGCAGAGCAGGGAGCCCGATGCGGGACTCGATCCCAGGACCCTGGGATCATGACCTGAGCTGAAGGCAGTCGCTTAACCAACTGAGCCACCCAGGCGCCCCTAACAGAAACTTTGTAACCCTTAAGCAATAATTCCACTGTCCCCTCCCCTTCCTGCCCCTAATAACTTCTAATCTTTCTATCTCTATGAATTTGCCTATTTTATATGAGTGAAATCATATGATAGTTGTCCTTTTGAGTCTTATTTCACTTAATGTTTTCAAGGTTCATGTTATAGCATGTAACAGAATTCCTGTTTATGGCTGGATAATATTCCACTATACCACATTCTGTTTGCTCATTTGTTGATGGACACTTGGGTTGCTTCTCCCTTTTGGCTATCATGAATAATGCTAGAACATGGGTGAATAGATATCTTGAGTCCCTGCTTTCAATTCCTTTGGGTATATACCTTATATAAGGTACTTATAATCCTTATAAAGACTGTAGGATCTGTATTTGTGTCCCCTTTTTATATTCCAGATATCATTTGTATTTTTTTTTCTTGATAAGTCTCAACACTAGGAGTTTATCCATTCTTTAATCTTTTCAAAGAATCAGCTCTTGGTTTTGAGATTTGTATTATGTGTTTGTTTTCCATTTCATTGATTTCTGCTCTTCTCTATATTATTTCCTTTCTGTTGCTTTCTTGGGTTGAATTTGCTGTTCTAAGTTCCTGAGATGTTTATATAACAATTTTTAGCCTTTGTTAATACATTTTCCCCTTTTTAATTACTATTTTTAGATTTATTTATATTAGAGAGAGAGAACGGGGGTGGGGGCAGGGAGGAGCAGGGAGAGGAGGGAGAAGCAGACTGGGCCGAGTGCAAGGCTCGATCCCAGGACCTGGGAATCATGACCTGAGCTGAAACCGAGTCAGACACTCAACTGACTGAACCACCCGGGTGCCCTGCTTATTTCTCCTTTTACTTCCATTAGTTTTGAGGCTAGATCATTAGATGTACACAAATTTATAATCAGTTTTCCTGGTGAATTGTAGTTTTACCACTACTGATTTTTTATTATTCAATTTCCTCCTCCTTCTCTATTATCTTGGTGGCTATACTTTTTTAAAATCTATCCCCCCCTTTTTTTTTGTAAGCTCTATATCCAGTGTGGGCTCGAACTCACTACCCCAATATCTAGAGCCACATGCTCTAACCGACTAAGCCAGCCAGGCGCCCTGGTGGTTATACTTATTTATTTGTTATTTTAAAAAAAGATTTTATTTATTTATTTGTATGAGAGAGAGCACACACACAAGCAGGGGGGAAGGGGTAGAGGGAGAGGGAGAAGCAGACTCCCTGCTGAGCAGAGAGCCTAATGCAGGGCTCAATCCCAGGACCCTGAGATCATGACCTGAGCCGAAGGCAGATGCTTAACCGACTAAGCCACGCAGGCACCCCTATACTTTTTTAATTATTATTTTTTGAGTAGTTACTTGAGAAATTATAACATGCATCATGGCTTATCAAAGTCTAATATAAAGCATTACTTTTTAAAAAATATTTTATTTCTTATTCGAGAGAGAGAGTGAGCACAAGCAGGAGGCAGGGTAGAGGGAGAGGGAAAAGCAGACTTTCCACCAAGCAGGGAGCCACCCAGGCGCCCCCCCTTTTTAACTGCGTTTTGGGAATGATAAAGTCCCATACTTTATTTTTTATTTAAAAAAATTTTTAAAGTAATCTCTATACCAGACATGGGGCTCAAACTCACAATTCTTTTCTTTTTTTTTTTTAATTAACATATAATGTATTATTTGTTTCAGGGGTAGAGG